TTGAACTAGAATCTCATGAACTATTTGTCTCTGGAATCATCTGTGATATGAACTTGTGTAGTGATTTCTCTTGAAATTATTTAACGTGATCTAAAATGAATAATGCATTAAACCTTTAGTCACCTTTTATTGTAAATGACCAAATTAATTAGTTACACTATGAAGTTTTTAAGGAGGAATTCATTTGGGTTGTTTTTGCCTCAGTCCGCCCGTGTGTGGACAACATAACCAATTATCTATTAACAAAAGTTCATGATATTTCGTGAATACACCAACTGCATAACACCGTCTCTGACTACAAACCCAAACAGGTTGTTCTCTATTCGCCTACATCCCAATTCGCCTACAGTCTTAAAGCAACATTTCATGGTCTGTTGACTGTTGATTACGCAATGATAAACCACCCAAACGGTCCATCCCTTGTGACAGGTGTTAATTAGTGGGTACCAATTAGAGAATGTATTCTACTACAATAAGTCTATTATTCCCTGGCAAGGGTTCACTTTTATGACATGTAATAAACCCTGTCCAGTCAGTCAGTGGGTCCGGTAAACTTTTATTTAATCCATGATGTAACGTAGGTCTATGTAATTTGTGTTTATGCAAACCGTGACAGGTTAAAAACTTTTTGCGCTTCTCTGGATAATAAGTAAAACATACACTTAAAACGGTATTTTGGAAAATGCTAGCGATACTAGGGGGCAAATATAACAGTAAATATAAATTTTTGACACTTAAACAACAAGGATGCAGATGAGTGAAGTTACACCAGGGATAATCTACAACGTCTTATAGTCGCCCTGGTTATACTAATATATAGCATTGGTTCCTAGGTGATCGCGTAGGAGGACGAATACACTCCTAGGACGACGAATACACAGTCTATACACTCATGGGGATCCTTGGGAAAAGGAGAAACTGAAAGAAGTAGTGGTAAAATCCTTCCTAAATTTCCAAAACTTTCCAAGTCTTGGAAACATCATGTTTCCAATTTTGGAAATTTTTGGAAATATGATATTTCCAAATTGGAAATTTTTGGAAATCACCATTTTTTTTCTTGTGGCACCTGTTCGTGGAGAAAGGTCTGCGAGGCGGAATTTCTATTGCCTCAAAACGATACGTTTAAGCCAACAACAAGTACGTGAATGGCTACGACACCAGCAAACCGACAAAACACATCCTCTATCTCGACGCCAACAACTTGTACGGCTGGGCCATGAGTCAGTATCTCCCCACCGTGGGATTCGAATGGGTCGTCGGACCGTCCGATATAGATGTGAATAGCATCGCGCCAGATGCTAACAAAGGCTACTTGCTCGAAGTGGACTTTGGAAGCAGTAACCCAGGAAATTACACGAATCGCACAACAGCTATCTGCTGGCTCCCTAACGATTGACGATGAACCTGGACTGGATGTCTGAACATCAACGAAACTTGCTGGGAGACAACAAGCCGATGGTCAACGTCGGAAAACTCGTGCCGAACTTGATGAACAAAACGAAATACATCGTTCACTATCACAATCTGCAGCTGTACTTGTCGCTGGGCATGAAACTCACGAAAATACACAGGGCGCTCCAGTTCGATCAAAGTTTTTGGATGGAGCCCTACATCCGAATGAATACGGACTTAAGAAAGCTTGCCACCAGCGATTTCAAGAAAAATTTGTACAAGCTCATGAACAACTCGGTGTTAAGACGTTTGAGAAAACGTGTTAACCTGAAATTAGATCCAGTGAGGAAGAAAAACTCAGGAAACTGATCGCCAGCCCGGCGTTCAACCGAAGCAAACTATGCGACGATGACTTGGCAGCGCTACACATGAACAAAAGTCACATCAAATCCAACCGGCCGGTTTACATGGGGATGAGCTTCCATTACTTATCCAAACACTTGATGTACGATTTCTACTACAACGAGCTGAAGAAGCAGTACGGCGACAAATGTGAAGTGCTGAAAACGGACACGGATTCTGTGCTGATGGAAATTCGCACCGAGGACATGTACGAGGACATGAAGAAACACATGCACCTGTACGAAACCAGCGACTACCCAAAAGATCACCCTATGCACAGCCAAGTCAACAAAAAAGTGCTCGGCAAGATGAAGGACGAATGCGCGGACAAGCCAATCGCGGAATATGTCGGCTTGAGACCCAAGATGTATTCCATCAAGAAAGCTGACAACGACGAAATCAGAAAGGCGTGAAAAAACACCACATCAAGCACGCCGGATTCAAGGAAGCCCTGTTCAAGAATAAAACGTTCAAACACCAACTGAACATGCTGAGAAGCGATGGACACAAGACATACGGACTGAGAATCAACAAGACGTCGCTGTCTCCCATGGACACAAAACGATGGATCACCATCAACGGAGTCACCACTTACGCGTACGGACACACGCACATATTAAATAATCAAAATGCACACAATACATACATCATGGAGAAAATGTATTACAGCCTGCGCGGGTACGGGAAAGGTGCGGACGCCATCCCGAAACTCGCCAAAGCCGCTAGAGTCTCGGAAGACGTCGCCAAAGCTTGGCTTAAAAAACAAGCCATCTGGCATGTTTACCTGCCAGCACCTTGGTACATCCCGAGAAGAAAATTCGACATTTCAACGCCAAATCGCGTTCACCAAGACGACCTCCTGTTTCTACCTCACGACAGGGTGAGGCATAAAACCTACAAGTACGCCCTGACAATTGTCGACGTCGCCAGTTGCTACAAGGAAGCCGAACCGTTGATGACCAAAGATTCGAACGAAGTCGCCAAAGCCTTAGAACGTATATACAAAGGCAGCCGCTTGACCTGGCCTGCCGTATTGCAAATCGATCCCGGACGCGAGTTCATGGAGCTGTGTAACAACTGCTGACCAAGCACAAAGTCCAGGTGAGACGAGGTGTGGCAGGAGCTCACCGAAGCCAAGCCATAGTCGAAAGATTCAACCGCACCTTAGCTAAACATCTGTTCTCACATCAGTACTCACAGGATTTACTGGATCCCAAAAACAGAAACACGGAATGGGTCGTACGCTTACCACAAGTGGTGGATGCCATCAACAGCGAAGTCACCAGACTCGTGGGCAAGAGACCCGTCGAAGCCATCAAAATGAAATCTGTCGAATCGTCGTCGGCAGCAGCATGTCACGATGAAACAGAGAAAACATAACGGTATCGGGTCTGCGTTAGGTACTTGTACCAGCCGGGAGAATACGAGGGAGACAGCAGAAAAAGCGCCACCGATCCGATATGGTCCATGAAAACGTACAACGTAGACCCTGTCGACATCAAAGACGGCGAACCGAACTTGTACTACTTGAAAGACGGACCGCCGAGCGCATTCGTCAGAGAGGAGTTGATGATCGTACCTCACGACACAGTCCCTTTTAGATCGCCCACTGTATGATAATTCTCATGATTATTTGTGTATGCTATTAGGTTGAGGTATGCTATGTGGCTAGAGACGCAAAGTTAACACAACAAATTTTCTCGTGTTAGCCATCAATTTCAAGCCTAAATTCATCTCTCACAAACACCCCCTCTTTTAATTTTAACATCAGAGCCGTGGTGACTTCTAAGTCACAAAAGTTTCTGCTGAAAGTGTGACTCGAACTCTGGACCCATGAATAGTGAGCCCAGCTCTGTAACCATTACTGGAGGACGCTGATAGCACTTGATAGCAAATGAAAGCTTATCAATCTAAGCTGTACCACTGTGGAAAGAGAGAGACGACCCACCATCATTCTAACCATATTTTTACTCCTGCAGGAGCAATGGATCGTAAACAAATTAGGAATCTGGTCCAAAACTATCATTACATAGTGTAGCCAACAGCCAGCCAGCTCTACAGCGAGCTGCACGTGGTGAATAATAACCGAGCCGAGACACACACACACGCCCACTGCGACTCGCCCACAGCACTCGCTCAGTGATACCGAGACGGCAGCGAGTCGACACACACACACACACACTTAAACTCGTCCACGGCGCTCACTCAAAGCAACCCCCGAGACGGTAGCGAGGTGATGACTGTCAAAACCTGCGTTTCATTCACATTCAGACAGCTCACACATCGCTACAAGTACGTCCTAACCAGATGGTAGCAAGGCAGCTCGTGAGAACTGCCGAGAACTGCGTTTCATTCGGCTGAAAACAACTCTCGCCTCGATAATATATAACAACTACGACAATACGTTGGATTGTTAGCCTTTCGCCAGACCGACCCTATGCTCACCAAAAAAGTGATTATTTCCTAAACTATTTGACCGATTTTCGTGAAACTTTGCATGCATCTCGGCAGATGGTTACGCTATAGATTAATTAAGACTTATTTACGACAAAAAGTTGGACATTTTGCCTTTTCCCGACCGACCCCATGCTCACTTAAAAATCAATATTTCAGAAAGTATACGACCGATTTTCATCACATTTTGCATGCACCTCAGTAGTAGTATACACAGTGGTGGAACTGCATTAGGGACTTACCAAGGCCTTAATTTGGAAAATTAAGGCCTTGGGAAGGACATGTCATAGAACCGCTATTGTGTATACTACTCCTCTGCAACAATATATTATTATGTTGCCAAGTTTAATCGGTTAGATTAAACTTAAAAAGCGAAAGTGAGTTGTGATTGGTATGCTCAACATCCCAGCGTAGACACCTGATTGGATAAAAAGCCAACTAAGGGAGGTAATAGAATCATCGGCTTGAGCCGTAGATGCATCCAGGGTATAGTGGAGATTTATCGGAACGTATACCCTTGAGATTATGGAGGTTATGGTCAGACAAGATGATAAAGAGCAACCTGGGCTGCATAATGATGTTTTGCTGTAAGACATAAAACAAAATGTTTGACATGAAGAAGACGATTCCTACTCATATTTTTCCAAAGGTTTGTTTGTATTTGTCTAACCTGTATGACTTACAAGGAAGACGCTTTCATTTTCATGATAGTAGGACTAGTATATGGATCAGGGAAATATATGTCAACATACCTTCTCGGCAGGTGCTGTTATCCTTTTGAAGTGTGTAGTCATATGCACAAAAGCAAACTCGTTTGGTTTGACTGATGGGGAAACATCCTTGACCACAATTATTCCGCACTGCACTGCAGATATTCACAACTGAAAAGTAAGTAAGAACAAGATGTTGAAGTCTAATCGGGTCGGACATTGGGCAGATCAGGGTTATTTAATTATGCAAGTTTTCGACTATTCATCTATTTTTGGTCCTTGCTAGTGAAGCCAGATGGGTTAACTTGACACAAAACTATCTAAAGAGTTAGCAAACAAAACAATTGTCAATAAACTGTGGGTGGAAAACGGAGAAAAACTGCTGCACAACACATAAAGCAAATGTTAGTGTCAAAAGGGAAAGGGTTATTTACAACAGGACAACCAATATAAATGACAGTTTTGATACAGTTATTTCAGGATGGTTATTGTCATACCATTTTTAAGTTTGAATTATTCTTGTGTAGAAAGACACAATTTACCTGACAGAAACATGTCAGTATGTTCATACATAACGTATTCTTTTTTCATCGTGGCGTGTCTAATATCCATTTTAAGGTCCATACATGGAGAATTGGAATGTATTTTGAGGGCTAGAAATCGTAAATAGATTTCATAAACACAGCCAAGAATTACGAGCGCGTTTGTGACACGAACACAGCGGAGGTCGCGGGGTCATGTACCTTCGAAGAAGTCCGGGAGAAGAATATATTTTATTTAACATGCTTTAGCTCCGTTGTTCTCAGGTCTATAGTCAAAGCAATTAGTGTTTTGTAATCAGCAGGACATCAGCTGTCAGGCGAAGATACTTTCATGTTAAACAGCTTTTAGAAAGTATTTTCAGTATTTCCCGGTTATATGTGGACAAAATCTTGAAGAAGTCTTTTGAAAATGTTTAAGGAGAATGTTGGCCAGGAAATAGGACTCAATATGACTGCCATTGAAGGCGTTTGTCGGCACGTTTTGCGCTCAATGTGCAGAGTAGTTGGACACAACAAGGAATGGAATTTTTGAAAGTTTTGGAGCTTATAGGACGAGGTTAGTACGTTTTGGGAGACAGGTACTCAGAAAACTGGTAAACAATACAGCCAAAACCTTCAATCCAAATGTGGATGCCAAACGGTGCCTTGTACCCACATGGGTACTTCACTTGTAATTGCAGGGAGTCCGATACTGGACCTATACCAGAAATGTGAAAGTCATTGGTCCAGTAGTGTTGGAGATTCTAAATAATTTTGAATTATCTGCCCTTAGGGATTGGATCTAGCTACTGGACATTTTCCTAGTAACACTTTCAGGACCAAAGGTACCTTGATAATTTATTTATAGCGATACTGCCCACTGGTCCTTGGGGTATGTTCGAAACAAAACCAAACAAACAAAAACACGCCTCAATGATAATAAATCGAAAAACTCCAATATGTCTCCTGCCTTCCAAAAGTAGCTAAGTTTACAAGTCAATGCAGATCAACACAGGTATCATTATGGCAGAACAAAATTGTGTGCCAGAGTATGTAATGTGAGATTAGAGTCAATAACTAGTACACATAAATAAGTTGCCAGAAGATCCTATAATATGCTGCGGGTCAAGAGCACAATGGAAACCTATACATCTCTGTCTACATAAGGCGCAAATAGAGCACACCACTGCCCCTCACTGAATCCAAAGGCACAATGTATACCAGTTGAAACACTGTTGCACAATGTATAACACTGGCCCCCATTAAGATATTACACTGTATATTATTCGCAATCAACATTGGCAAATTCAGCTCAGAAAGATTAAGCAAAACTTTATCCCAGGGAGGCGTCGTCGGGATACACAAATTGTGTTTTGATCCAGTTTCGGCTTTTAAATAGTTTCTTGGCACATTAGTGTATTTATTTTGTATTGTTTTATTTGGCGGTGTTACTGGTGTACACTGACGCGCTATGATTGTAAGTGTAATTGTTTTTCAATGACAACCACTCAAAATAGTGAACAAGACAACCCGTGTAATCAAGCAGAAGCAAAGCCACAAGCGCAAAGTCACAAGGTTGGCCGTAGTTGTAATGCCGTTGTCACCGTCATTGATAAAAACAACCCTCTGTTTCCTGGAATGTATTGGGGCTGACGAAGGTCTCGTCGATAGGTTGGCTTAGCTGCGAAGGAAGATCTTGCACGGGCAATTAGCTTTTTTCGGTACTACTGCTGCTTATTAAAATTATGCATGTTAATATGTAGTTGAAATCACCTATACACTAAACGCCAAAAGAAACGTTACCCTCCTTCCTTAATGGCGGATGTACCTATCTACAGCTGGCGTTATGATGCGTGCACGTCCATTTCTTGGTCTGTCTATTGTGACCCGGGTCTGTTTGAAGCCCTGAATAAGTCTTATAACCGTGATACGGTGGCACCCGAGGGCGTTGGCAACATCATTTTATGTCGAAGGCGCCACCTAGTGTGGAGGGACGACACGCATGAAATCTGTCTCTACGAAACTTGCTGTTTTCCAAGGTTCATGGACTGTCTAAAGAGGTAATTCTTATATAATTAACGCAAGGACACTTCACGGTCATAATGGGATGCGATTTAAGTGCATATAGACAGAAAATTGGCTGTTTTCAGTTTTCAGTTTATGGCCTTCATGTCACGAAGAGCAAAACATCGGGTTGCCATGTGTGTGCGCGTGCTGCCCGTGCCTGTGTGTGCACGACTGAGACAGAGACTGTTTATTTCTCTCGGTGTTGCTGTTGATAACCAGTAACGATGTCGAGAAAAAACCCGGGCCATGGGTTGACAGACGACTTTAGACACAGCAGTTGAAACAAGCTATGCTGAACTTGTAAAAGAACTAAAAGAAATGCGAAAAGAAATGAATGACAATTTCTATGATTTATCAACAAAAATGGAAAGTGTCAAAGATGATCTTCTAGTGCTTACAGAAGAAAATGCGGAATTAAAATTCCTAGTTTCCGATCTGCAACATCGTGTTGACCATCTCGGGGCGCGTGAAAAGCGAAATAACTTTATATTTTATAATGTGGAAGAACAACTTGGTGAAACGCGACAGGATCTCGAAGGCTCTCTCACTGACATTATCTCGAAGATGGGTGTGCACGGCGCGGTAGAGCTTATTGACGTTAAACGCCTTCCCGTGAAAGGAAGAGGCCCTCGCCCTGTTCTAGTCTGTTTTGAAACTTATAAATTGAAACTTGAGGTATTTAAATCCTCAGGGAAGTTGAAAGATATGAAAATTTATGTGTCACAGGATTTTACCAAAGCTGTTCAAGAAAATCGTCGTAAATTGAAACCGTTTATAGACGAGGCGAGAGAAGCGGGAAAATTCTCTATGCTGCGTTATGACAAGATTCAGATAGACAATAAGATATATAAACTTGACCCTAACACCAACAAGTTGATCCCCATAAGAACACTAAAGCCACTTCCTAATCAGGAAAATACATCCCGCCCCTAGGGGTCTGGCCAACGCTCTTGCACGAATGATATCATAAGAACACTGGATTTCTGCATTTGGAACTGTGAAGGTCTAAAAAACATCTGTGTAATCCCGTATTCCTGGAATTTATTGCAAGATTCGATATTGTTGGATTTGTAGAAACTTGGACTGAAGATACTGATCAATTTGACCTAATAGGCTTTGACTACTTTAAACAGAACAGAACAAAGAAGCCCGGAGCGATTCGGAATTCGGGTGGAATTGTAGCATTGACAAAACAAAATATATCAACAGTAGTGACAGTTTTGAAAAATACCTCAGTAAACGTTTTATGGTTAAAATTAGAAAACACCACCAGCAACTTGCTACTAATATTAGGCATTGTTTACTACTACCCTAGTGGCTCAAGTGAATACTCTCATGAAAACATTTTAGACGTAATAGAAACAGACATTTTATCATTTTGAGAAGCATACCCATATTGTCATGTTATCTTAAAGGGTGACTTTAATGCCACAACTGGGGACCTTACCAGACTACATTGAAAATGACGATGCTCGGTACATTCCTGTAAATGAAGTTATCCATTATATATATGATGATACTATACCAGCTCGCAGTTCCAGGATGCTAATTAGTTAATAGTAGAGGTCGTGCACTGCTAGATTTCTGTAAAAGAACTGGTTTCCGGATTTACAATAGTCGTCTTTTCAGCGAAAAAGATGTGGGTAAAATTACTTGTGTAGCCAACGATGGCCAGATTATGTGATCTGCCCAGAAAAAACATTCGAAATTTTCTGTGATTTTTCAGTGGGCGATCAAGTCGAATCATCACACTTCCCGATTGTATTCTCTCTATCTGAATAATTTTGATTGCAGCGAAAACTTAATTCCAGAGATAAATACAGATGGAATGCTGAAAAACAGTCCTTATTTATGGATAGGTGGGACTCTATAACAGATTAGCTCATAGACAACTTCAAAGAATGATTAAATAAAAACGAAGTTAACAATGCACACGACTCTCTTCATGACAACCTATTAAACTGTGCTAGCGACTTCAAGCTGTTAAGTGTAGGCGACATGACATGACATAGGGAGGCAACTGGTATGACAGTGAATGCAACTCGTAGCCCGGAGTCGGCTCCGCGCCTACCACACGACTGACGCTGCAGTGGACCGTGCGCGGTATACCGAGGCCTGAAGAGACTACAAGCGGCTCTGCGCAACCAAACGGACTGCGGTGTTTGACTCTGTTACGCAATCCCTGCTGAATTCCCTTACTCTAAATGATAATAAATGTTTCTGGTCTATTGTGAGAAAAAGAACAGACCCTATATCTAATACAATTACTAATAGTGCTTGGACTGAACACTTTAAAAAGTTATTCAATGGACCCAATGTTTGACAAGAAGAGAACGTTTTTTAATCTCTCTGTGATAGCCTTTATTCAATCAGTTGATGATGCCCTTATTGACATTACAACTGATATAGACTTCCTTGATCGTGACATCTCTTGTGAAGAAATTAGTAATGTACTTGCTGACATGGCATGTGGTAAGGCGCCAGGTTATGGTGGTTTACCATTCGAATTCTTCAAAAATGCTACCAAACTTTGTGTAGAATTGATGCAATTACTTTTTAATTCCATTTTGGTTACAGGTACTT